ATATAAAATAAATAATATTTAATAATAAGCTTATAAAAATAATAAAAATATTTTTTAAATATTAACCTTTATCTTAAGTTAAAAAAATTAATTAAATTAATAAATTTAATAAAATAATATTAAGCCTTTTTTACTTTTAATTTCTTTAATATAAAAGGAATGCTTTTTAAATATAAAAAATTAAGAACTTAATATATTATAGCCCTTATAACTTAATAACTTCTTAATTTTTAAAATATTATATTTTTATTTAAAGAATCTTTATATTATAATTATACCTTATTTAAGAAATATTAATAATGTAAATTAATAAAGAATTATAAATTTATTATTATACTTATTTATATGCTTAATTATTAAATAATAGTAATTTTTAATAAAATAAAGAATTATTGCTTATTATAAAATAGTTTTATATTAAGAAATAAAAAAAATAAAATAAATAAGAATATTAAAGCATTTATTTATAAATATTTAATAGTTATCTTAAAAGATAAAATGTAAAATTTTAATAAGGAATTTGCATTAAGATTAAGATAAATTAATAAAATATTTTATAAATAATATGCTATTAAGTTTATTAAAAACTATTTTAAGAAGAATTAAAAAAAAATAATTAAAAGGTATAGAATTAAGCTAAGGCTTTTTTAATTAAAATTATATACTTTAAAATGCCTAAAGCTATTATTAATATTATTATTTAAATATTTATTATTTAATTAAAGCTTAATAAAATTAATAAAGCTATTTAAATATTTATATTAATTCCCCCTTATTAAAATTAATAATATAAAAGTAATTAAAGTAAGAAATAAGCTTTTATTATAAAGAAATATTATTTAATAACGGCTATTTAAATTATAATATATTAAGATTATTATTAATTATAAAAAGAATATAAAGGAAATAATACTTTTAATGTAAATTAATTTAATAATTTAATTTTAAATATTTAATATATAATAAAGTATAAATTTTTAAATAACTTAAAATTAATTAAGTATAACTTTAATTAAATAAGCCTTTAGCTTAAGTATTATATTATAAGATATTTTAAAGCTAGCAAAAAATGCTTATTTTAGCATATATAAAGATCTTTCTTACTTACTTATCTTAATAATAAATATAAATAAAACTTAAAGTATATTAATTAATTTAAAATAATTAAAATAATAATAAAGTTTATTTAAAGATAATTTAAAAAGCTTATAAATAAATTAGCTAAGTAATTAAATATAAGGCATAAATATTAAAAGTAAAAATATTATAAAAAGTAAAAGTAAAAATAAAAGCTTTATAAAAAGTAAAAGTAAAAGTTAATAAAGTTAATATATTATACTTAATGTAATAATTAAAAAAATAAATAAATTTACTTTTTATTTTATAAAAATATTTAAATCTTTAATAACTATATTAATATTAATTATTAAAGTAAACTTTAATAATTAAAAAAATATAATTAATATATATATTATTAAGTAAATCTTAAGAATATTTAAAGCTTTTATAAAAGAGTAAAAGCTATAATAAGATAAGTAAGTAAGGAATTAAAAATAATAATAATAATTAAGATTATAATAAAGTAAATTTTAAAACTTAAAGGCTTAATTAAAAATAATAAAGTTTTATTTTAATAATTTTTATAATATTTATTGCAAAGTACTTAAAAAAAGTATATTAATAAGTATAAGGAATTATATAAAAAATAATATTATATTAAATTCCAGCTAGCTATAAAAAGCTAGCTTTTACGCTTATTTTAAATATTATTATTTTAAGAAATTAACTCTTTTTTTTTTTTATATATTTAATGCTTTAATTAAGCTTTTCTTATTTTTAAGAATTTTTAAAATATTTATCTTTTCTCTTTTTTTAATTCCCTTTTATTTTTATCTTCCCTCTTTATTACGTTAAAGCTTCTTCTTAAGTTATCCTTAAAAGGGTTTTAGCAAAACCTATTCCTTATTATTTAGGTAGCTTGTTTTTAGTAATATAACTTAATATTATAATTATAATAACTTTTTAACATAATATATATAAATAAAAGATAATTTTTTTTTAGCCTTAAATTTTATAAAATATACCTTTTTAACTTTATTTAATAATTTTATTTTTAATTTATAAGCTTTAATAAAAATATAAAGATATAAAAAAATAAAAATATAATTAAAAGTATTTAATATTAAGCTTTTATTTATAAAGTATTTTAAATAATATTATTTAATATAATAATATTAAGTATAATTTTTAATTTTATAAATATATTATATAAGAAATTACCTTAAGTTATAAAAATAAGTAATTTTTATTATAAATTATTATATAAACATTAATAATAATAATATATATAAACTTTTTAAGTATATTATTTAATTTATAATAATAAAAAAAATAATTTCTTATAAATAATTCCGCATTTTTAAAATATTATAATAATTATTTTATTTATATATTTTTATCCTTATTATTTAAATTAAATATCTTAACATTTACATTAAATTAAATTTTAATTATATTTAAAAATCCCTTAATATATTTAAAATATTATTTTTTTAAGTAATAAAGTAAATTTAATAAAATTAAGCATAATTATTAATAAATAAATTAAAATATTAAAAACTTTTTAATAATTTTATTAAGAATTTATTTAATAAATTAAATTAAATATATTTAAATAATTATATAAATTATTATTTTAATAATAAATATAAATATTTTTTAATAAACTTTATAAGTTAATATAATTTATAATAAATATTTATTAATTTATTTAACATAATATTTTTATTTTTATATAAGCATTAAATAATTAACTTTAATAAATTATTATAATTAAAAGCTTTATAAAATTATTATATATATATATAAATATTATAAAGTTATTTTTTATTATAAAAATTTTAAAGTTTTTATATTAAAATTTTATTTATAATATTTTATAAAATTTATTATCTTTTAATAATAAAAAGATATTATTTCCTTATATATTTAATTAAAACTTTTTTTTAAATTATAATTTAATTAAATAAATAAATATTTTTTAATATATAATTTATATAAAATATTAATAAAAATGCTTTTAATAATTATAAGAAAATCTTTATAAAGTTAATATCTTTTATAATAAGTTAAATTATTACTTATAATAATAATTATATTTAAATAAATTATAAAAAGCTAAAATCTTTTATATATTTTATTATATATTTTATAGCATTAAAATTTAAAATTTATAATATTAAAGTATTTATAATTATTAATAGCTTTATTATATATATTAAAATATTAATATATAATATTATTAAATTCTTTTATTATTATTAAATATTTTAATAACTTTTTTATTTATAGCTTAATTTATAATAACTTATTTTCTTATTTTTTTTTATTTTAATTAGCTTTATATTTAATAAGCTTTATATAATTAATATATAAATAATTAATAAATATAAAGTTTTATATATAATATTAAATATATTTTTTATTATTTAATATAAAGTTAATATTTATTAATGTAAACTTTATAGCTTTTTTATATCTTTTAATATTAACCTTTTTTAAATAAAGATAATATAAGCTTTAAATTATTTAATTTTTATATAAAAAATAATATTTATTATTTTAAATTTTAATTTTAAAAAATATTATAAGGTTTTAATTATTTAAGTTATTAATAATATTATTTATAATATTTAATAATATTATTTATAATATTTAATAATATTATTTATAATATTTAATAATATTATTAAAAAGAAAAAGTTTTTAACTTTTATTACTTACTTTTTAAAAAGTAACTTTATTAACTTTTTAATTAATTATCTTAATATTAAAGTTTTAATATAAAGTTTTATTTAAAAATTATAAAAGGTATTTAAATAATTTTATAAGTTAAAGCTATCTTTATAATATAAGTTTATTAATTAATAAAAAAGATAAATAATTAAGTTATTAATATTATAATTAAATTAATTAATTAATATTTTTTAAATATTAAAAGTTTTTATATAATATAATAAATAATATAAGGCTTAAATATATTAAACTTAAAAATATAATAAAAGCTTAATTATTAAACTTTTTTTATTTTATAAAGATTTTATTTTTATTTAATTATTCCTTAATATTTATAATATATTTATTAAGGTTAATAAATTAAAAGCTATAACTTTATATTACTCTTTAATTTAAAAAGTTTTCTTTTTTTAAGTTTAACTTTAAAAGAAATAATAAATTAAGCTTAAAGTTAAGTATATTTAATATTTGTTAAATAATATTTATATATCTTTATTTATTTATAATAATTAATATTAATTAATATAAATAAAAAAAAATTAAAATATTAAATAAAATAAAAATATTAAATTATTATAAGTTATTATTAGCTATAATAGCTAATATAAGGTATAATAATAATATATAAGTAAAGATTAGCAATATTAAAATCTTAATTATTTAAATATAAAAATAATTATAAAAATAAAAATATTAATATTTCTTAATATTTTAAGATATTTTAAGCAATGCTAGCTTTATAACCTAATAAAGCAATTAAGCAAATAATAATTAATTATTATATATTAAGGAGAGAAATCTCCCGCTATTAAACGCTTAAAAGGAGCCTATTTATAGGCTAGCGCTAGCATCTGGGCATACGACCCTCGCATCTTCCAACAGATCTTGTGCACACTAAGGGGGCAGTGCATTTATAGAAAAACGCTGGGCAGACAGCGTCGTCATCTTGAACAGCGAGTGTCACTTCTTTCTGTCCTGCTCATGTCTAGTCAAAATGTGGAGGTCTCAGGCAACTGCATAACCAGTACATGAGCAGCAGGGATCGACTAAAGTGTGGATTGTAATTCTCGGACCGGTCATGGAGCGCTGCCCACCTGCAGACTGCATAAAGCCCCCGAGACAACTCAGTGTCAATGCCCTGCGTGTATACCGGCATTTATTGTGGAAGCTCTTGCAATCTATAATTTTCCAAGCACCTTATCGCCATGGCCAAAAAGCGGGAGAGCAGCGAAGAACGTCAGCCGCTTACTCATGGATCTCGGTCTGATTCGGAGCCTGCCTCGGAGTCCGGCTCGGACTCAACAGCCTGTCGCCATCATGTCGAGTTCCGTGGGCGGTGGAAGCCAGCCTTTGACCGACATGTCTGGCTTAGCCTTGTCCTTGCCATCGGTGGTTTAACTCTGTCAGCAGCAATTTTGGTCTTTACCTTCCGTGGCCTGTCTTGTCCGCCATGCAGGGCCACTGATTATTCGGGATACCAGTGCGCTCCCAACGGCGCCTCACCCGAGGTTGCCCGCGCGAGAGGGTGTGAGTGGGACGATCTTTCGTTCCACTGGTGGCCCAAGAAGCCACATCTCGACAGCGACAACCAGGCTCTGCTGCAGGACTTCCGCGTCTCTGGGCCATGGCAGAGGTTCTATGACCAGGAGGGACAGAACGAGATTCCCCCGACCAACGAGGTTCTCACCGCGGGCTGGGTGACGCGCAAAGAGCATCTTTTCCACTGTGTCTTCACCTTGAGGCAGACACACCTCTGGCTCACCAAGGGATTCGACGCTCCGTTCAACTACAGCCACACCGTCCACTGCACGCAGCAGCTGATCGACGCGGTCGTGGAGAGTCCCCCGCCCGACTTCGATGATCTGACTGTCCATGGCACGCCTTGGCCAGAACACCCCGCAATTGTAAGTTAGTCTTGTGACCGTGCCTCAACATGTACTGATAACCATGCAACCCCCCAGATCAAACCTTTTTACCCCTGTAAGGAAGAGGGCTTGAGTTGTGAGTCATGGTAGATCACGCGGGAGAATGTACCAAAGCAGCAACCCAGTCATGGGTGTGTCTTCATTGTGGGTAATAGGCTCAAGCAGCGCGGACTAGTCTAGCTCCTGAAGAGGGGAACACATACAGCGAGGGCAGGGGAAAAGGGAGGCCTGATACATTTTCAAGACAAACCTGAACTCTTTTCTCTTTTCCGTTAGAACAAATAGCCATCCGTTTGAGCATGAGGCAACTCACCGCAGGTCGAGATGCAGAGGACTTGGTTCTCCAATGCCAATGACCACGTCGCCAGCATGGGGCCTCGCAAGTTCGACCTCAGAAAAAATGGTATCAAATAGTTATCTTATATACTGCAAGTATATGAATATGTACGGCAGAGTTAGTTTGAGAAGTCTGTGCTCTGCGATCTCCTACTAATCAATGAATCAGAGCCCGCACTAAGTGATTATACTTTCAGCCTCGACAACAATTTCATACCTGAGCGGCCTTGGCTACTATATTTGTCGCCTGTCTCATTTCACCGCTACTGACCTGCCCAATTAGCATCACGAGGTCGTATTCGTCGTGCTCAACAGAGAAAGTCAGACAATATCTATCATCCTCATTGAAGTGAAATTTCAGACATGAATCGCTGAAACTTTGTCAGCCTCATCGCTTGCGGGCCAGAACCATCTGGACCTGCCATTCTAACTTTATTGTCCCATGGCCCACGGCGTCCTGAATCTCTTTCCACTCCTTGCTATCCCACGTCTCGGCGTTGAACCCAAAACGCAGCGACTCAAGGTTCTCCCTCAGCCACTGCACAGTTGTGTCCAACTGCCAGTCCCCACAGTCTTGATCCTCAACCCGTTCGTGCTGTCCGAGGTGGGCCACGGGCGCGGCGTGCCACTGCTTCTCTTCGGGGTGCTGCTCCCATGCCCAACCCTTGCCGCAGTTGAGGTAGAAGCGCTGCACGTCCCCCCAGTTCTCGTCGCGCAGGGGCACACAGTCCATGTTGAGCTGCTTGCTCCCGCGCTGCCAAGCCTGGCTCATCCACTCTTTCTTCATCAGCCCGTCCACGTGGTTGGCGATCAGCCTCTGGAAGGCGTCGCTCGCGGCCCCGTTGTTGGTGATGGACGGGAACGGCCAGTAGAGCACGGCGGCAAAGGTCCCGCCAGGCCGCAGCCCGCCGGCAATGTTCCTCATTGTTGGCTCAAGCTCGGTCCAGTGGATGGACTCGCACGCCATGACAAAGTCGACCTTGTCGAGGGCGCCTTGCAGGTCGTCCCAGGCGTCCTCCCCGCGGCGAACCCGGTACACAAACTGGGTGCCAGGAAAGCGCCCGGAAAATCGATTCCGCGAGTCCTGGATGTTAGACTCACGTGGGTCGGTCAGGACGACGCGCTCGAGTCGCGGAACGGTGTGGACGAGTAGACTCTCGGCAGCATTTCCACTTCCAGTCCCAATGTCATGTGCTGACAAGAGGGGTCCCTTGTGGTAAGCCAGCCATAAGCGCCACATTGAATCTGGGTAGGACGGCCTGTGGTTGATGTAATGTTTCCAGTCCATTTTCGAGGTGATTGTTTCTGTTGTGTGCTTGACCGACACATCGCGACTGGAGCAGGCTTGATTCCTGGAGGTGGTGGACATTGTGGGCAGACGTCTGTGCCGAATTTCTTCTTTCTTTCTCGACAGGTGCGTGGTTGGGAAGACTTTAAATTGTCCTACGATAGACTTCCGTTTCGAACCATCAACAGACGAGAGTCCGAGGCTGTCTCTAATTCTATCCAGCAACTAAGTGCCGATAAGTTAGTACCGCTGATCATCATCGGTCCGTGGGAAACCCGTGGACATCAGGTCAGGCATTATGACTCTAGCTAGAATTAAGGTTACGCTTTTGGCGCTCCATCATGCAGTCCCTGAAGCGATGCTGATGGCACCCCTAGTACGATGTGCTCAGCGAGTCGCACAGGCTCACCAGCCTCAATCGTGAAGAGGAGATGTGAACCGTCATAAGCAACCGAATAGACAGCCCTGTTTCCTTGCACTAGTCCGGAACAGCTTCGCAGCGGCCTTTGAACTTTCGTCTCCAGCAGAGCACTTCATCTCTCTGTTTAGAACCCTATTCATCACCAAGGCCTTCAGTTATACCGGTGTTTCCGCTTGCGGCCCAAGACGCACGATGTTGTCACCGAGCCCAGACGAAAGCTCGCGATCAGATGTTGTCAATCCTGATAATGATCGAAGGATTACCCGCCGCAGAGGGGCTTGTCAGGCATGCCGGTCGAGGAAGGTTCGATGTATGATGCATTTGAAAAAGCTTCGACCCCGCGATACCAGCGAGTGTGAAACTTACATGTTCAACTTCTCAAGGTGATGGAGGGAAGCCGTGTATACATTGCCAGGCAAGTTCCGAAATAGGCTCGGATCGGCAATTGGAATAAACTCGATAGCTTCGGCTGACCGGTCACCTTAGCGTATGGGCTGTTCATGTTTCTACCCGGAGCTCCAGCCCCGACGGCGCAGGACGGTGTCTCGTGGCAGCATGCCCGTGGCGGGCCAACCCCTAGCATGCATTCAGGTTGCTGCTAACAGCAGCTGGCGCCCGTACGGGGATGGCATGCTTGCCTTGCCGATGTCACCTCTGGACTTTTCTCTGACGAACTTCGACGACGATGTCCCTGGTTATGAAATGACCCCTGACGAAGGCTACGCAGCATGCCAGCTAGGCGATAGCGGCACTGGCGCATTTTTAACTTCATTGCCAGAACAAGACAATGGTGGTCAAATCGACGTCTCGCAATTACAGACGCCGAGCTCTCTGCTCCCATTTGACATCACAATTGATGGTGTCCACGAGCAGCCTGACAGTTCTAATGAAAATGGGAAAGGCGCTGACACGGCCACTACAATAAGCTCCAGCATCTTTTCAGCCGAGCTCGTCAACCTTGAGGAGGTGAGCCAAAGCACCAACATCCTCGTTCAAATTTTGCCCGCCCGGTGGCAGAGAATGTGCAAGCCCTAACGTTAAGACGCTACAGCTTCTAGACCTAGACAAGGACACATGCAGTCGCACAGAACGGGCAACTACCGTAGCATCTGAAGATGACTGCTGCCCTGGCAGTCCCGAAGCCGTATACTCAGCAACTTCACTTTTTGGTCTAAAAGACTTCCTGGTCCAAAATGTGCGCAAATCGAAGGCGTCTCAAGTTGCGAAGTTCATCAGAGAACTTGAGAGCGTCTTCGGCCCACCCAGTATGTCACCCCCAGATAAGTATTCCGAGCGACCTCGAGCAAGCGTCGAGGATGACTTCCACGAACAGAAGTGGTGCAATGGTGAGCGACAGATTGATCCTCTGTGAAGTCACAACTAAGTCATATTCCCGATAGCTCTATTTCAGGATCCACGTTGCCCGTGAGTCCAGCCTGGGAACTCGTCCTCTTCCCATTGATTTTGAAGAAAATACTCACGCGTGCTAGGATCACGAGCTTCCTCACTCGATCATACGTGGATGAAGTCCTAGAAAGGTCGAAGAAAGTTGGAGCAGGCCCTTTGGCATCAGCATTTGCCGAATCAATATGGGCCATGGGAAAATACGTGTCCGCTTTGAACGAGTCCGGCAGGAATGCGCTCAAACTGAAGCACGAAGCCTACCAGAGCCTTCTGGTCGCGTTGAACTTCAGAAGATCCGTACACAGCTGTGCCAGCAGTTTGCTCAAGCTCCAGGTATGCCCGACTATCTATTTATCCGCTGGCTTGGCCCACATGTGACTGTTGGCTGATTGAGGAACAGTCTTTGATCCTTTTGGTATGCCGTCTCATCAAGAATGCGACGGTCTTGAGACTCACGAATACTGACCGTCGCAAAGTCAATGATTGCATGCATGTTAGACGAGACAAACGCAGGAGAGCTCATTGCCGCAGCGGTCTTTTGTGCCCGAGGTCTTGGCGTTCTCGATGGCAGGAGAACGCATCTGAAGGCTAGTGGTAATACCGAGCAGCAACTAGTGGAGCGGGCTGTGTTGTTTCTGTTCTCACTGGAAGGCGGCCACTCAGTGGATCATGGAATGCCACCAGTAAGCTCAATAGTTTCCATGGATCTACAAGACGATGACTAACAATGCCGCTCAATAGATGATGAGCAAGCAATGGCTGGCCCAATGCTACCAGCTCAGGGACAACCCAAAAGTCTCAGCAACAACAGTTTCTCAAGCAGAACTGATGAGTTCTATCCTGTGCAGCCAATACTCTCCCGACGCACTATCAGGTGATTTCCTACAATCGGCGAAAGACCACCTCGTCCGGTTGGAGGCGAGCATGCAACGATTGAACGCTTGGTCAGCAAAGAATCAGATCTGTTCCAGCTATGCAGACGCCAGAACCAAGCTTTCCAGCAGCAAAGATCCAAATTCTCGACAATTGGCGATAAGTGGTTTCTATTCATATCATTTGTCCATATTCTTCATCCACTGCCCATGGATTCCATTGGTCGCCAGCCAGCAAGCAAACGCTGGCAGTGACGAGGACATGTTGCAGCTGAGACACTGTTGTATTGGAGCCTGCATCCACTCGGCATTTGCGACAATAGAGTTGTCTAATGACCTCCTAAACACTGATCCCAAACTAGCACGGTAAGCCGGCCGGAGGCGCGTTCTTCCCTTCTTTTCCTTTTCATTCCCCAGCGCTGGCTGACAAATTGCAACGTGGCTGCGCAGAGACACTCTGAAATTCTTTGATACTTCAGCCCTCATCCGGAGGACGGTTCTAATAAGCATTTACTCAATCCTCTCCTCTTTTGTACTGCAAGGAGACAAGGGCCGGACCAGAGCCATGCCATATCTGGCTCTATTTGCTGGGCTATTGGGAAGGTTGAGCTTAGAGAATGAGAATGCCGAAAGTATGATCAGTCATTATTTCGAGATCATCAGATCTGAGGATTGGGCTTAAAGATGCGTCAAGACTGGGATCATTTTCATGTCCTCGGCTTGATTGCTTATTCAAGCGACTTTGTCATTATAGCAGATCGGGACAAGACAAGCATTATAAGATGTATTGCACGCACATCCCTAACCCTAGTTTACAATTACTTTTTAAAATGCTTAAATAGCTAAATTTCTTTTATTTCCTCCTTTTAAACTACTCTTAAGAAATAAATGCTTTTATAATTATGCTTTTAAACCCTTATAATACTTATAACCTTTTATAATTATAAGCTTAATTTATATAAAATAATCTTTTCTTTTTATAAGCTATAAATAAGTTATATAAAATATAAAATAATTGTATTTATTTTATATTATTTATTTTCTTTTATTTTTAAATATATATTTATATAATAAATATAAATATTTTTTTAAACCTTATTAATTAAATAATTTATTTAAATATTTATTTTATTTATTTAATTTATTATATTATAATTTTATTATTAACTTAAAAAGTATTAAGAATTTATAAACTTTAATATATAAAATATAGCTTTTATTAAATAATTAAATATAATCTTAAAATTAAATTTTTAATTTATATAATATAAAAAAAAAATATTTAAAAAGCTTTATATAATAAATATTAAAAGTATTTAAGTAATAATAAGCTCTTAAAAATAAAATAATACTTATTTTATTTTCTTTCTTATTCTTTAATAAATTAAAAAAGAAATATAATTAATATCTTTAATAATAAGTTACTTTAGCTTTTAATAAGGCAATTAAATTTAATAAAAAATAAAAAATCTAAGAATAAATATAAAAAATAATATTTAACTTAATTTTCTTTTATATTTAATTAAAATAATAAATATAAAATAATTTTTTATTTAATAAATAATTTAAAATATTAAAAATAACTTTGTATTTTTTAATTAAATATAATAAATATTCTTTAAACTTAATATTAATAATATTTAAAAAAAGTAAGAAAATTAAATATTAAATTATAATAATAATATTAAGATTTTATAAATTTATATTTATAAGCTTATATTTATAAATTATTTAAAATTAAGAGATTTATTAATTTAAATAACTTTTTATAAATAATTATAATATATATTACTTTTAATTAAGTAATTTTTAAATATTAAGAATTTATTAAATAAAATATATTAAGAAATTTAATTTATTCCTTAAAAACTTTATTTAAAGAATTAATGATATTTTTATATTATAATAAGCTTATATTAAATTTTAAGAATATTATAATATTTATTATATTAAAATTAAAAATATTTTTTAAAATACAAAATAATTAATTAAAAAGGTAATTAAAAAATATAAAATATATTATTTTAATTATATTAATAAATAAAAATATATAAATATTTTTATTAAAACATTAATTAATAAAAAGGATATATTTAGCTTATTATTAATTATTATTATCTTTATTTTATACTTTTAAGGAAATAAATTTTAAAACTAAAAATACCTTTAAGGAAACTTAAATATAATAAAAATAAAATATAATTATAAAAGAATTATTATAAAAACTTAATTTAAGAGCTTACTTAAAAGAATTTTTTACTTAAAAATTAAATATAAAGCTTATTAAAAATATTAAAAACTTCCTTAAATATATTTTTAAAAAGTATTAAAGAATAAAATCTTAATTTCCTTTTTTTTTTATTTTTTTTTTATAAAATAAACTTATGCTTTTTTAAATTTTAATTTTTAAAATTAATTAATTAATAATATCTTTATTATATTTTTATAAACTTTTTATTAATTTATTTACACTTTAATTAATTTATTATAATTATTAATTATAATTAATTTCTTAAAAATATATATAATTTTTAAAATATTTTAAATTATAATGTTTTATTTTTTTATATAATTTAAATATATAATTTTATTAATTTTATTAATTTTATTAATTTTATTAATTTATTAATTTATTAATTTTATTAATTTTATTAATTTATTATTTTTATTAATTTTATTAATTTTATTAATTTTATTAATTTATTAATTTTATTAATTTTATTAATTTTATTAATTT